ATAGGTACCTAAACTATGAAATCGTATATCAATTTGGTCTAAGAATTAACTCTGTTAGTTTAGATGTTAACTTGGCTACTTTAACCTATAAAAATCCACCATATAAACACAAAATGACAGATATGCAGGCTTATATGGCTTATGTAGCCAGAAAATCTAAAAAAAAAAAAATTAAACCCTAAACAAATTAAATTTCGTAAACCGCAAATTGAATACCCAAATCTTAAACCTCAAATTTGAAGAACTTAAAAAAAATTTGAGCAAAATCAAAGCTTGTGAAGGGTCTGGCAGGAAGCTTGTGAAATCAAAGCTATAACCTTCACGAAATCAACGGTAAAATGAACCAATTGATTATCACCATCCATCCTTACAACCCCACTTCACCCACAAAAAGCCATCCCTACCGAGATCTCCTCTTAACAAATAAATCAACCCAACAACCCAAAGACCGAAACCTATATTCATTGCCATTGCATACAACCCAAACACCCATCAACCACTGAGACTGTGAGTCTCATTCACAGCTAAAACAAAACGTCAACAAATACTATCCATAATGCCTAAATCCCTTTCTATTAACACCCCATCCAAACTTGTAAAAAAAATACACAAAAAAATCACATCCCTAAAAGAGGAACCACAAAACAGTAGCCAAACAAAAAAAAAAAGTTAACATTGAAATTGATATCCAGGTTTGGGTGTTTATGATGGTTTTTAGGCTAGATCTTTAGGAAGTAGGAAGGCATTAAGGAGAGAAACAACATAATAAAATATGGGGGCTATTGGAGAAGTGAGAACTAACAAAAAGAAAATTTTGGCTAAACCTCTAAGGTTAGATCTAGGTTTTTAAGGGTTGTTTTTGAAAAAATTAAGGTTGAAACGTGAAAAGAACAGGTAAAAAAAAATCAATAGATGAAATTTAGGCTTAAATTAGTACTGGTGATTTGTGACCAGTGACGATGGACAACGACCAAAGCGATGGCAACCCACTAGATTTTGGTTTTAGAAGGGCCAATGTTCTTGGGGTTAAGAGTGTTTGAATTTTTTTTTAAAGAAAATGTTTTAAATGAATTATAAAAAAAACTTGTATTTTATTTTATTTTTTTTGAAATTTTTAGAACGTTTTTAGATTATTTTGAAAATTTTCTTTTAATGTTGAAGTGGCGTTGATGATGTGGCACTGACTGAACTTTTTTAACATATGTCAACATTTTATTAGATGTTCATGCCATGTCATTATTTAGAGTTAACGATTTAGAGTTAATGATTGGGACAAATTAACATAAAGAAATGTAGTTTAAGTATCGAAGTAGAATTTTTTTTTTTTTTTGTTTAGCTACCAAATTCAATAAATTACAATAGTTCAAAGGTTAAATAAGATATTATCCCTTTTCAAAACTAAGAGGAATATGGGTTATAAGAATCAATTCCCCATTTTTCCCTGTGTGTATGTCATGTGTGTGCATGAAGTGAATTTCCCTTTAATGGGTTATATATGTGTTAAGATATTTGGTTTAAATAACCTTGCTCTTTTGATATTTTAATGTTGGTATTCATATGCTAGTCTTTGAGATATTTTGTCTAAAATTCAAGTATAATGTTCTTTTGAGATTGCCAATATTCAAAGTAACAATAGCTTCTAATAAGATTATAGCAATTACTAGCAACAATCTTAGTCAATTAGAGAGAGCAAGAAACGTATTTTTTTACCTTTATTGTTTTTCTTCTAGGTATTACTTTCATATGATAAGTTAAATTTTCATCGATAATTGTTGTATTACTCCTAATTGCACTATTAGTGCTAAAGCTCTCAACAATGCTAATGTTATTATGTCTATGTCTAACCTTAGTTCTTATGGTTAAAACATTATAAATTATCTAGCAAGCCTAATAAAATAATAGCTAACCTTAATAATAACTAGAGCCTTGAAAAAGTTCTTATGGTTAAATCATATAGATTGTCCAACAAGCCTAATCAAAACTCATCAAAATTTTCAATTAATTAACAAACAAAAACTTGGCATGAACCATACAAGATTAGGCAACCAACATTTGTCTCTTCAACAAAGTTTTATAGTAAATAAAAGTCCAAAAAACCTAGTACCCATATAATAAAAGATTTAAAACTAAAAAAGTTAAATAGATAATTGCTATCAATGTTGAGCTATGGTTTCGATAATTCAAGAGTTAAATAAGTTAAGATGAAAAACATAGTAGAATTAAATCATGGAATAAGGTGAAATTAGAGAAGCAAAAATTTAACTATGACTACCCAATTCATGTAAGAAGAATTGAAAGCTTTGATCAATGGTCATTTTATAAAAAGAAAAACAAGTGTGACTAAGAATGCTAAATGGATGATACTTAAGTCAATGCAGACAAATTGACTGTAAACATTCTTAACAAACAATGACCAACCATGGTTATAATTGTGTTTTATTTACAAACAAGACTTTTGTGAATTGCTTTAATTCTTATTTAATACGTTGTGTTTCAATCTAGATAAAAGGTAACTCGTGGAACATAGATTCATAGTTTTATTTTATTATGTCTTAAGAAAAAAAAAAAAAAAACCTAGCACTACCCTATAGCATTACATGCATAACATAGATTACTTTTGTTCAATTGACTTTTATTGTTTATATATCAAAGAAAGAAAAATAAATCATAAGACTTGAAATTGTCATTATGTGAGGGACTTGACTGTCAATATTCTAAACAATGTACAAGCATCTTTGGAAAGAAATTGAACATAAAAATAAAATTGTTGAATGCTACATTCTATAAATGGCTTATCTAACTCAATTATAGTAAACAAAATCTCACTCAATTCTCTAATACCCATTGGAACAATCTCAACTTGAAAAGCTTAATTCCATTAATCTCAATAAGACATAAATTCTAGATACATTAAACCAAACTATTAGCATATATTAAAAGAAGATCTAAATAATGAAAAACTTATAACATTTATGTTTGTGGAGATGTTATTAGCTATAGACAATTTTGAATACCCTTAATTCTCCATTTTTAGTGAACATAAAAGAAAGTTTTCTTTGGCTTCTATAAAGTTCTCTTTTAGTTCCTCGAAAATTTTTACTGTTTATAAGATAAGATAAAAGTTGGAACTATATTTTGTATTTTTCTATTTTTCAAAAGTTAAAACTACCATAGAATCGGTTCCTAAGAAATCTTTGCTATTTAAACAATAAGATAAGAACTAAAATTATTTATCATATGTGAAAGATAAAACCTCTTTTAGTTTTTTTAAATCTTTCACATGAGAGAAGATGGATGATTTTTTTATTTATATCAATAGATGTATTTTGAAATACCGTTGTAACTTATAAATTAGGTCCTAAATACAGATAAAATTCTGATACTTCATTTTTTACAATATAATTTCTTTTCAAGAAACTTACTCTAACTAAATATTTGTCACCCTTGATAAGGTTTAACATGTAATAGTTTTGATTTTCTTTTATAAAACTTTTTAAATGCTCTTATATCTATTTTTGCATACCTAACTTAAATCTAAGTAGTTTGTTGCTTATGCCAATTTCGATATATGACTCATCTTAGATATAATTTATACTTGTTGTGGTTGCATTATAACTTCAACCTTTTGATAACTTACAATTTAAGCTAATGAAACCTTTGAAGAAACATGGATACAACTCTTTTTTTATTACATATTTTTTAATCTTTAAATTAATACATAATTGTATTTTATTCCTACAAGCAAGGCACAGGCTTGAAATCTAATATACAATTAAATTAATCCTCAAATAAGAACAATCTAATTGAAGTGCTATATTGATAGTAAAAAAATCGAAAATAAAACTTTTTATTTATATAATAAATAAATAAATTATAAAATTATAAAAACCAAATTGTTTCATTAAAAAATTATATTTTGTACTGTTCTTATTCTTTTTGTTCTCGTAAAAGTTTTTTATAATATATAATAAATTAAGAAGATCACACTATTAATCAAATAGTTAAAAAAAATCGATTAACATAATATGAAAAATCAATAACAAAAACAATAATCACAACATATTAAATATTATATTTAATTTTTCAAACTTTTAATATTTTATAATTTTCATGTGTAGTAAAATTTTTTATTATTTTTATGCTAAATGATAAATATATTTTTAATAAAAATTAATAAAAAAATTATCAACCTCCTCGAGCAAAATTCTAGTGTATAAAATAATTGGCATTATGATTCGCGCTTATCAAAACTCCTCCCATGAAAAGATAAGGCAAATTTTATTGTTTATTTTTTTAATCTATGACGATAACAACAATTCACATACATCCCCACGTTTTCCTTCGTATCTTTTATTCTCAAAGACAAGAAAAATAATCAAAATATTTAAATAACCTTTTTTTCAAAAATAATTACTTAACTGTAATAATACTCTAGGGGCTTTTATTTTTTGACCTAACGATTAAAAAACTCTGAAAAAGACGTATGGGCGTAAATTCTAAATTACGAATCTGCCTTTTTGTAAGAGTTTTGCCCTCTTGCGATAAAAAAAAAATAGTTAATTTTAAATTTTACCAACAATGTTAAAAAAAATTTTGAATTCGAATAAATAAAAAGATAATTTTTTATAAATTTACTAAGCGGACTCAAAGCAACACAAGAAAGAAAATGCTGAATAAGTCCCAAAACCCCTACCATTTAACAAAAAATAAACTCTTTTCTTAATTAATTTATTAAATTTTTAAATATACTTTAATACTATAATATATGATAACACTCTAACTCGAAGATATATTAAATAATTTTCATGTATATATATATATATATATATATATATATGGTTTATTGTCAAGGTCAACAATTTCTTTCTATTGCCATCCTAAAACGTGTCCAATTATATATTTTTCAAAATACAAAAAACTGAAGGTAACATCAACGGTAGCCCAAGGATGAAGTTCATCATAAAAATTAAAAAATAATAATAATAATAATAATCCTTCTTTTGCTTAGATTGTAGTAAAAATATAAATAAATAAATAAATAGGGTAAGAGGCACAGACTGACTGAGGGTGATAGATTTCAACGCAAAAATTTCTTAAATTGCAGTTCTATTTAAGTTTATAAGGTGGCAGACAATATTAGGAACTACAGCTTGACATCAGCTCATCACATATTCCTTTCACTAGATCGCTCAATCATGGCAGCCAGCATCTTCAAATGACTATGACAACGCAAAAAAATGAGAGAAAAACAGTACGAAACTACAGCAATAGGAGAAGCGAGTGAGAGAGAGATGGGGCAGGGTTGAGGGAATTAATAAGTTGTGTGAAACGCAACAACATTTTGTCATCTGCTTCATGCCACTCAAACATTTCCATAGAATTTGAGACCAAGGCTGAGCTCTTATAGCACCATATCCATGCCTTGTCCTAAAATAAAAAAAGGAAACAGGAAAAAAAGGGAGGGGGAAAAGAAAAAAAAACCTGGAAAAAGGAACGGAAGGGGGAAAAAATAAGTGAGCACTAGATGCTAACATCACAGTTCTAGTTGAGTGCAAAACCATATGCCATCAACAACCAAAACAAATGCATTTAGTCATTAAATTTAACATACAATGAACTCCCTACCAATCCCAAATGCTTAAAACAAAAAAACAGTCTTTAACTCCAAGCTAGCCCCAAAAAGGACCAAATAATGTCTCAATTGGTTAGATGAAGTTTTCCAGGTGTTAACTATGCAAGAAAACAGAATTTAAAGATTTCCAATTGCTTCAGTCAATCAACAGAATTTTGCTGATCAACCAGAAAAAAAGTTACCATAGCCAAAGAATTAATGCGTAGGACATAAATGCAAGCAAATCCAACTTACTAAATACTATCATAAAACAAAACTCAGCCAGGCAGTGTCATGGAAGATTACCTGTGAAAAATGATAAATTAAGTAGAATGATCAACCAATTTGCTATGGGGATCAAATAGAGACGTTATTCATCATGGTGGTATCTGGTTACACAGGACCTCAAAGTAGCTTTGGCCAAGAACTTTCCTTGGAAAGGAGGAAAAACAAACAGGGAAAAAAAAGAAAGAAAAAAAAGGGGCAAGTGAAAAGGATGGGACGAGTAAAGAACCATGTTTATAATACAACAGAAAAAAGATATTGCAGACAGAAGCACAGAAATGCATACACTGTTATTTGTATCAATCAACACTATATAAATTTCAACAATGTTAATAGAAATTTATAACATAGCTCTCTGCCACGAAGCAACTGCATACCTTCACATAGATCAAGTAAAAATCAACTCTCCAAACTTATCACTGACAGCTCCAACAGGAAAACGATGTATATAACCTGCATGAGTTTGGGATACAACAGGCCATCCAGACCATCAAAGGCAAATAAAAATGGAACCTATGATCAAGCATATCAATGAAAGGCCAAAAGTTGTAGGACATCACGTCTGTTAGTAGAAAAAGGTAACTTGGAAGAAAATAAAGACCAGGAGTGAAAGAAGGCATATCAAAAACAAACTAAGTAAATGGTGCACACGGAAACAGGCCCACAGTAAGATAAAACTTCTCAATATTGAGCATTTTCATTTTCTAGACTAGAAGATAGCAAGTCCCTATTCTACAATCAACTGTTTGGAGGACCTCAGACTTCAGATAGATGCACGCTTGCTAGTACATACACAAACATAAAGAATTCAATCCAGAGGCAGAGAGGATAACTTTCAAATAAACACATAATAAATTCATAGTTCAGCAATAAAGATAATGTTTCAACATACATCTAGCAGTCAAAGAAGCTCGCTACAAACATTGCATGGTCGATTGCAGCTGATAGAACACTGCTTGAAATACTTTATCCATTGTAAATGTCAGCTCAGAGACTTCAATTCCAATCTGTTCCACAAGCCTGCAAAGGATAAAAGAGCACAACGGGCATACATTTATGAAGTAACAGCAAATCGCTGAAAAATCCAAGCACCAAAACAAACACAAAGCAATCTCTTAAGTGAACTGCCGTTCATTTAGAAGCCAAAAGCTCATTAAACTCAAAAGTTGTTCATATCTGATCAAGCTTGAACTGGACCAAGCCTAAATTGCAGACTCAGAAGTCAGACAGCTTGGAACAGCTTTGATCACAGAAATCCCCCAAGGTCCAGTTCTACAACTAAAACCTGCAGCTCATTTCCGCTGAGGAGAAATGGAATGATCTTCTGATCCTGCAAAACAAAACATATATGAGTTACTATTAGTCACCAACTCTACAACTACATCGGTGTTATTAAATTTTTGGTGAATTTATGACATTACCATTACTTTTGAGCTGATGCTTACCACTTAATCTTTCAAGTTTGTTTAGTTCATCTGCATCCAATCTGCTATTTGGTGAGAGTCCTTCATCACTGCCAAATGGTGGTAAACATTTGCTCTTCAATTCCTGATCATCATTCACCGAAACTTTAGAATCATAAGCCTCCTCTTTTGAAACCAACATTCCATCATCCCCTGTATTTTTTAAGTTGTTAATAATGGAAGTAAGTAGCCCATTATCAGCTCCAGTCTTGACTATTTTTTTTTCCAGAATGTGCTGAAATTTTATTCCACAATCCAAATAATACTTACCTTCTGCTGACTTTGACCTAGTGTGCCTTCTGTATCTTGAATCATTATCTTCAAAACTTCTCAGAGAAGATCTGCTTCTTTTAGGAGGCCTACCTTCAGCAGATAATAAATAATTTTTTTCATGGTGCTTTGATCTTTCATCTATTTTATCAATAGAATGATGCTTGACTTCAGTAGACTTTGAACTGGAGCACCTTAGATGTTTTGATTTATTTTCATCCAAATTTCTGGGGGACAGCCTGCTTCTTCTGTGATGCTTGCCATCAGCAGATCTTGACCTCGAGTGTCTTCTATCCCGATGCTTAGACTTCTTATCTCTGCTTCTATCTCTCCTCTCATTGGTGTAATGCCTACCTTCAGCAGATCCGGACCGGGATCGCCTTCGATCACTATGTCTCAACTCATCTTTTCTCATTTCATCAATTTTTCTATAGGAGCGAACCTTGCCTTCGACAGAAACTGACCTGGATTGCCTTCTGTGTTTTGATTTGTTTTCGTCTGAACTTGCAGAAAACCAGCTTCTTCCTCGATGCTTACCTTCTGAAGATAATGACCCGGAATGCCTTCTGCTGTGGTGCTTTGATTTTTTATCCAAGATTTCATCTTTTTTGTTATCAGAATCAATAGATTTTGACCTAGAGTGCTTTCTGTTTTTCAATTTGCTTTCATCATCATTCTTTGGGGATGACCTACTTCTATCACGCCTTGGTGATCTTGAACCAGAACGAGATGATTTCCTCACCCTTGGTGAACTTTCTCTGCTATGTTTTGGGGAGTCTGAATCAACAGGAGGTGATTTTCTTGTTCGAGGACTAGTACTCCTACTCCTATTTCTCCTTGAAATAGATGAATGACGATCACGTGATCTATCCATATCTTGTCTCCTACTCCTGTCACTCTCATCCCTATCTCTATATACTGCCGTTCACTATCATACCTTGAACGACGATGAGATCTGACAGGTGATTTGGACCTACGGTCTCGTTGAAAATGAGGCAGAGGTGAATAAGAGCGAGACCTCCTTCGCCTATAACTGATTGGTGATCTTGACTTGGACATTGACCTTCGTCGGTACCTGATTGGTGATCTAGACTTTGATTTTGACCTTCTCCGATAACTAAGGGGTGATTTTGATTTGGATCTTGACCTTTCATGAGAAATGGATGGTGACCTATAAACAGGGTTATGAATTAGCAGAATTCTGATTTATTTTTAAGGAAATTTGAAGTCTAACATACAGAAAAACAAGGGAATACTTTGATCTCCTTTGGTGCAAAATGAGTAAAAATATCATCTGGAAAGACAAATCAAGATTTAACAACATGAGAGAATCACTGCGAGTAGTTAACAGTTATAATGTTTGGCTTATAATTTAATAGCACATCAATAACATTATTTATTGAAAAACTATGCTGCAGTCTATCCAATCCCCATAAACCTAAGGGACCAAACATAGATATTCTGCTATCATGCCAAATAGTGAAACTCTACTTGCAAATCATATGTAGCTTAACAATATCAGCTTTTAGCGAAAATAAAGGAGAACAACGTAACTCTATATTTAAACAGAAGCCTCAATTAAAGTAAGCTTGAATTTAATAAAGAATGAGTTTATTACAAATTGTTGAAAGATTTGATTAGTTAAAATCGAATCCAAGAACAGGGAATTTTAGTAAAAATAGAATTCAAAGAAACAATACGTATAAAAGGAAATAAACTTGTCCTCATGAGGAGCCATACCTAGATTTACTCTTTGTTTCCTTCTCTTCAGTCACAAGTCCATCAGCTTTTAGCTTCTTACTTATTTCTGCAGCTCTTGCTGCAGCTAACTCGGTTGCAGACTTCATGCTTGCAGCTCGGTTAGCTGCCTGCTGAGCAGTCAAGGTTTGTTGCATAAGCAAAGCCTGTTGGAATTGCATCTGTTGCATGGCAACAGCTTGCTGCATCATCATAGGCAGAGATGATGAAGCCAACGATGAAATTGCTTGTTTTCTGAGGAAGCATTTTGGCCATCTCCACATTTAATGGTCGACCACCAATATCCATATTGTTCAATGCCAAAGCAGCTATTGCTTCCTCAGGTTTTGAATATTCTATGTAAGCAAAATGCTTTGAATCAGTGATTGTACACTCAACACCTGTACCACAGAAGCTAAAAAGCTGCTTCAACTGCTCTGCTGTGAGAAGTGGGCTAAGATTGCTAACTTGTAGGGTTCTTTTCAATGCATCAGCCTTCCCAACTTTGTCAAGAGAATCTGACAAGAAGCAGACAATGGTTGGCTTTGGCACTTGACTAAAAAGGAAATAACAATAAAATAAATTGGACTTGGAAAATAAATTAAAGAAAAAAAGGAAAGTGGAAAACAAATAGTGTAAAAAGTACCAGATGAATCTTTGGTTGACTGAGCTTGTGCTTGCACCTGAGCTGCATGAGCTTGAAGGGCCTGAGCAGCAACAATAGCCTGAGCTGCAGCCATTGCAGCTGCAGAAGGTGCCATAGGAACCTGACTGAGAGTCCCCATACTGGTTGTTGCAGCCAAAGCAGTCATCAGCGAATTGTGGGGAGGATGGTTCAATTTGCAATCAGTTTTAGTACATCGGCCATTGAGGTATTCTCCACAAACTTCCCCAAGAGATGCCCCCATTCCCGGCAAAATAGCACCACCTGAAGCACCAGAAACAATGCCCGGGATCATTCCCAATAAGCCAGGGAAAGCTCCAGAAACAGATCCCGTGTAGTTTGGCATGTTGGGCATGGTTTGGTTGACCAGACTTGGATAAGTGGATGCAGGAGCCACCCCTGGTATCCCCCCAGTAGAAGTACCTGCGTGACAATAAATTCAATATCTACACTATGAGTGCTATAACCATGCCCAAAAGTGAATAAAAACATACAAAAAATAAGCAAGAACAGAAATTCAACATCAACTTAGTTGGGTATGGAAGCAAATTATAAGGTGAATCACATGGGGAAATTTTGTTATTCCAAAATTGTGAGCCTTCTTCACAGTGAACAAAGATATATATATATATATATATATATACATATATTACATAGGACAATTAATTAGGGTCAACAAACATATAAAATTTTCCATGTGCAGTTAAAAATGAATATACAAAGGTTTGGCAAGGTTACCTGCACTGAAGAACACTGGGAATGGACTACCCATGATGGGTTTCCCATTGCACTCAATGCTCACCATATAGTTCCCTCTCTTAGGCACCACATAAGTCACTGTGTAAGTCCCATCTCCCATATCCTTCACAACGCCCTCCTGTTCCAAACCCCCAACACCCACACCTGGCGAAACCTTCACCTTAACCAGCGCACCCCCAATCAGCACTTTCCTCCCATCAGCATCCTTTGTTACCACCATAAACGTGGAGGCTGCACAGGCGGTGCCACCTGCTATTCCTGGCCCCGCTGCCATGCACTTGGAAGGATCCACAGGACCAATTGGCTTGTTCACCAAGTCACCGGTGTCCTCAGACTCACTATCCGATGAAGCTGCCACCATTTCATCGTTACGATTCTTATCCACATCTTTGAATGTGGCTTCGAAAGCTGCTTTAGCAGCAGCAGCTTTTTCGGCCTCACTTTTCAGCTTGGCCTCTTCGGCTTGTTTCATCCATATAGGCTTTGAAGCAGTCGAGTTTCGATCCACCATCAATTAAAAACACCTAAATTTCTAGAAAAATTAGCAATAACACAAATGCCAAAAGCCAATAGAACCCCAAAAAAAAATTAATTTTAATTATTGAATAAAAGATCCATCAAATGTACTCCAATAAACCTACCCGAAATTCGAGAACTATAACGATTCAAAATTCAATTTACTAATACTAAAGCAACCCTAGAAAGAAAACCTACAAAATTAGCTAAGCAAAATATCATATTCTAAGATAAAGAAGAAGGCAAAGTAAGTTTGATATGAAATATTTGATAAATTTTGGGGTCCGTTGGAGTTTGGTTGGTTACCAAGAAAATGATGGAAAATTATAGAAGATGTTTTATTATTATAATTTACTACTTTGAGAAGGAAAGGGAAAGGGCGTTACTTGCTAATTGGTATCCAACAGCGAATATGAATTGCTTAACACTTGGGAGAACGACGTTTTAGAGACAGGGTGGGGCAAAACCGGGATTTAATCGCAAAATTTTAATAAACAAAAAAAGTTAAATAGAATATTGCAAAAATATATATTAGTATAAAAATTTTTAGTTTTATATTTTTTAAATTATTAATTTTAATAAATTTAAAGATGAGATTAAATTATTTTTTAATTGCTTCTCCCATATTTATTAAAATCATTAGAAAATAAGTATAAAATTTTAGTGTAAGTTGATCTTACCTCTATTTTTTAAATAAATTTTAAAACATTAAAATCCTTTTTTAATAAAAATACCTCAAAATAGTTAGAAAAAATATTAAAGTTTTTCTTCGGGAGAAAATTGAGGGTTTTTTTTTTTTTGACAAAATGAAATATGGAAAAATGAAAAAAAAGTAAAATATATATATTAATCATATATAGTAATAATTTTTAGATTTATTCAAAATAAAACTTGCTCAACTTACTTGATCTCTTTGAATCTGAATTTGATCAAATATGATTTGATAAAAAAAATAAATAATTTTAATTTATTGAATCTAAAATTAAATTAATTTAAATACAAAATATTAAAAATATCAAAAGATTTATTTAAAATTAAATTAATATGATTTTAAAATTTAATAATTAAAGCAAATTATACTGGAACCTGATTAATTTGAGTATCAAATTTAAAATATCTAAATTCAAAATAACATGAGCTAAAAAAATCAACATAAAATGGTTTGATGGATAAATACTGGACCAAGTCAGTTCTATAAATTGCACATCATACAATAATGACTTATTGAGGGAGCGTAATTAGTTAAGGATGTAAATTATATATTAATATTCATAAATTATTTAGATTCGATTAGAATAAAATTTAAAATTGATTCAATTATTATTGAGTTGAATTTGAGCTCAAATAGTTCGACTTATTGATTGAATTAAATTTGAATATTATTATATCTGATTAATTTGAGTAATTTACGAGTTTAATCGAATTTTTATATTTTAATATATTTTAATTAATAAAATATCTCAAACTCGAATTTGAACTCAAGTACAAATAATCAAAATTTTTTTGAATATAATAATTAAATTTATTTTTATATGTTAATTGAACCTAATCAAATAAATTCGAATAATTCAATTACTATCTCGAGTGGAGTTTAAGTTAAAAAAAAATTTTTTAATCAAATTCAAATTGAATTTCAAGCTTCGAATTTTCACTCGAATTCAACCTCAAACTTAATATTGTATTAATTCGAACTCAATCAATTATTTCGTTAGATGTAATACGGTGTTTTCAAACAATTTTTATCAATAAGACATATTAAAAGCATATATATATATATATATATATATCATACCCATCTTTATTTTAATGATCTGAAATTAAAAAATCTGATCAAAATTTGTTATTGAATTCATATTGACTCTGGTCTACTCATTGTCAGGTTCTGGTCTAGCCTTTAACAACATGAGCAGGAGAGGTTTCTTAAAGCTTTTCAGTAGCTCAATTCAAGAAAAGCAACAGGAAAGCTTTTGTCCATTACTGTGCTGCACATGACCAAAATGATACAAACCATTCTGAGGGCCTTCAATATCTGCTTGTCTCAAATTTGCTTAAAGAGCTGGGCAAGCTTGCTCTTCAAACGCAAGCTATTCAGGTTGATTGAAAATAGTTTGTCCTGATAAACTTAAATGCCACATGCAGATGAGGATTGTCTTCAATAGTTTCCAAAAAATTTTGCCAGAAATCAGTCAGGAGGATTCCCAATATTACGCATCTCAAATGATGATTCCCTTGTATAAAGTTTGTGAAAGGTTTGGTGGACAAATAATCACTGGTGAGTTCAGACCTTGCTAGCTATAACCTATACTATATATATTCCATATTACTTTCGACCTTCCTGGTTTTGATTGAAATGTTTATGCTTTTGCGAATCTGACCAATTTCATTTGCATGGTCTTACAGATGATCTAAAGCAATTAACACAAGAAGTTTCAGAAAGCTTACGAAACAGTACTTTAGGTAGCCAAGATTTTGGACATGTTTACAGTGAGATCAAGAAGAGAAAATCGAAGACGCCAGGATAAGTGGAAATGAGAGGAGAAGCGCATCGCTGTTATCGACGCAGTGCCAAGAGGAAGTTGAGCATCGTGCCAACAAGAAAAGGAAGATAATCAATGAAAATGGAAAGATGGATGCGTTTGAGAATTGATGTTGTAAATGGTTCCACCGGGGATTCGCCATTCCACTTATCGACTGAATAGATGTCCAATGAAAAATTTGGGTGCCTCAAATTTTTTTTTTTTTTTTTTTTGGATTCATCTCTGAATAGTTCCCTGAATGTCACAGGTTTCCACATAGGCACAACGATCACTTGCTTTTTTTCATTTCTTTTGTTAGGGATCTCATTTACTTATAATGCAAGAATATTTGTAATTCTCTTTTATTGGTTTTAAGGACACTAAATCATTTTAGTCTTCATTTAGATAGGAAATGAAATTAGTTCCGATGACGCTAAAAATTATAATCAAAGTTATTATGTTTATGATTGAAAAAAAAAATTACTGTAATTACAAATTGAAAGAAAAATTTTTAATGAAAAATTTATGTTCAATAAATTTAATTGAAATTAATATTTTATTCAATTAGTGATGTGATAAATTTAATTACATCAACGTGCGATGGAATTCAAACCTAACATTATTATAATATTTTGGATGTAATTGCACGTTTTAAAATCCTCAAATGCCTAATTTCAAATTAAGAAAAATAAAACATGTGCTAAAAAAAATTAGTAACTTACTCATAAGAATCTTCAAATATTTATGTTAGAATCGCAAAACATATTGACCTCATACGACCTTTTCATTAATTACAATATCTTCAAATCCCAAATTACGTTTTTTTTCCTTAAATTTGTTTAAAACCCCATTGATTTAATTTTATATTTTTTTGTCTAATCTTAATTTTGCTACTTTTCTCATAAAAAGAATATAAAAAAAATCAAAGATAAGATGATAAAATAATTTATACTCAACCGATTTTAATTCATCCTAATCTGGTAGATTTAAAAAAAAAAATCGAGTTAGCGATAAGATTTTTTTTTTTTTTTAAATCAAAATATGATGAGCTTAGAATGCTTGCAAAATGCAAAAGGAATTGCTTACAAGTGGATGAAAATGGAAGGGCAAAAGGTGCAAAAATCGAGGACAACGTGGGATTCGATAGCTATCTTAAATTTGTAGTTGTTTTCCTAACGTTTGTGTAACGAACTTGCCATTCACAACTCTCTCCTTCTCGTCTTTTCATTTTTACAAAGAAAAAATCCATTTTTCTTTTCCCATCAATTCTTGATTAGTATTATGGACGTGGGTTTCTAGCTTTGTTCCATTCATCCTCTTTTTCAGTGTGAAAAGAAAAAAAAGACCAAGACAAAGGTATATAAAACAAACAGAAAGTTTTTTTTTCATGAAAAATAAATCAAGTTTCATGAAGGATTTCTTTTGTTTTAAATTGTTTGATAATGTTTGTTTTGATTTGATATGAATATAGGGAAATTTGGATTGGAAATCTTGGCCCTCTTTGGTCTTTTTTTTTCTTTATGATCAATTGGGATGTCATCAGACAATATTCATGGACTTGTTTTGGCTGTCTCTTCAAGCATTTTTATTGGATCTAGCTATATTATCAAGAAGAAGGGTCTTAACAAATCTGGAGAAAATGGAACAAGAGCTAGTAATTTGTTTTTCTTCTTTTTAATTATCATTGCCCCAATATGTTTAAACTTTGTTTTTTTTCTAATTTATAGATGAATATTGAAATATATATCTTTTAATTTGATATCAGGTCAAGGAGGGTACTCTTATTTGTATGAACCCTGGTGGTGGGCAGGGATGATTACTAGTAAGTTTAACAACTACTACATCATGCCTTGTCTATTTAGGTTGTATGCAATGCCATCTAGCAACAGAGAGCCAGAGATAGAGACATTGTTGTGGGTTGTCATGGCTTCTTATGCTACAATTGTTTACTATATCTTTTCCTTATGGCCTTTTGTTTTACATAGTATACTTTAATTTTGTAGTGATAGTTGGGGAGGTGGCTAATTTTGCAGCTTACGCGTATGCTCCTGCAATTCTCGTAACACCATTGGGAGCTTTAAGTATTATTTTCAGGTATGAATCATGTTTCCAATTTTATTAGTAGAAATATGAGAATTATTTGAATATGCAGACAAGGAAAGGTGTTTAGAAGCTTAAATATTTGTATGTATGCATGTGGAGACACATGTTTGTCATTGTTAGATTGGCTTGGCTTGCATGAGTAATTTTATGAAGAAAACATTGTTATACAGTGCAGTGCTAGCACACTTCATTCTGAAGGAGAAATTACACATCTTTGGTATTCTTGGATGTGCTCTATGCGTGGTCGGCTCTACTACTATTGTTTTACATGCTCCACAGGAAAGAAACATTGAATCTGTCGAAGACGTTTGGCAGCTTGCAACAGAGCCAGGTATATGAGAAGTTTCATTCTAGTTGCTTATTTTTTTTTTTTATTCAGATAGACATTGGCAAGGATCATTTATGTTTGTCAAACTGATATATGTAGTTTTATGTTCACAGGTTTCCTTGTATACACTTGCCTAGTTGTGATTGTGGTATCAGTTCTTATTTTTCGATATGTTCCACGCTATGGCCAAACTCATATGATAGTTTATGTTGGAATCTGCTCTCTCATGGGCTCTCTTACGGTATGCTGATAACTTTCATGTCCTTTTTCTTTAATTAAGGCTTGTTCTTGTAAATCATCTATTTGTTTTTTCACATAGGTAATGGGTGTTAAAGCAGTAGGAATCGGATTGAAGCTGTCGTTTGAAGGAATGAATCAATTTAAATACTACCAAATATGGGTTTTCACATTGGTTGTGATCTTCTGTTGTCTTTTGCAGCTGAACTACTTGAACAAGGTAAATGTTGAAAATATTTAGATTCAAATGAATTTTTTTTACACGATTATCAAGATTTGAATTCTGATCACTGAAATTAAAACTCTAGCACTCTACCAACACAGATGCCGCACTGCTTTAAGACATTCTTTCAAATTTTTATTTCAATTTCTACTTAGGATATCTGATTTTTGTAGTAAATGAAGCATGGTGCAAGGATGTTTATTCTGCATATCTGTTTGGCAAATACTAGAACTTCACTGAAACTAGCTTTAATTAGTTAATTTGTATTCTTTTTCCTCCTCTTAAATTGAAATTTACATATTTGTTGACATAAAAGCTTTACATTTTTGCAGGCTCTAGACACCTTTAATACTGCTGTTATATCTCCTGTCTACTATGTCATGTTCACAACATTCACCATTATTGCCAGCATGATCATGTTTAAAGTAAGTTTTCTACATTTCTTTCCATTTTCATATTCGATTCGGCATTCTATTTCTATGTTATTTGGATTCATGGTAAGTACCAAATATGGATATACGAGTCATATATTTGAAATTTTCCTATATGTTTAAAGGATCAACCATCCATTCTCATATCAGTTGGATATATATTAGACACAATACTTCGAGAAAAATAAAGAGTTAAGAGCAATATAGTTTTTCTACGTAACTTGTGTTCTTTACTTGCATTCCAAGAAACTGTTATTTACAAATGTTAAAATTTCTTAGTGATGATTTAATAGGCTTCAAAGAAGTGAAATGAATCCACACAAGTTTTCTTTTACATATTCTTATCTGCTTCCAGTTTTCACCAATGTTTTTACTTGAAATAAACATCTCTATGAAAATTCTGTGCTTTTATATATATTTCTTGACTTCTTTTTTTTTTTTTTGGTTACAAAACAGGATTGGGATTCTCAAAAAGCAG